ATGCCCGATCTGACGGAAGCCTGGAAGTGAGTGCGCGAGGTGGTTATAAAAGGCTCCTACCCCCTAGGAACGAGGTATGCTAACTTTTGCGCTATCTGGTCTATCTTGCCTTTGAAAGACTCTAACTTGAGCTTCGGAGCCCTTACGCTGGGTTCTCCCCGGAGCTTCTCTTTTCCCTCCGTTTCAGGTCCCTGCCACTTAGTTCAGAGGCAAGATCGTTGACGGCTAAGATCGGCCGGATTGTGCATCATCAGGTCCCATTTACTTTTTAGGAAGTTACTTATCCAGGTAACTACACTTACCCAAATAAGTATTTTCTAGGGTACACTCATCTAGGTAAGTGTATTTACCCATGTTCTTTTATTTCCTAAGTAAATAAGACAATAATTGTTTTAACCATAAAAAATTATAATTAAAATGAACAATTTTGTTCCATCCAAGTGTTGGCAACTTTCCCCTTAAGAGGAAAAATTACTTATCCACCTAGAAGTTGAAAAAAGAACATGGGTAAGTTACTTGTTTCTAAAATACATAAATAAACAATAGAGCGGAAAAAAAAAAACTCACATGATTTTACTAGTATCAACAAATCAATATTGCAATCAAATACAAATAGCGTAAGAAATAGGGAAAATCCCCACATAAAAGATACATCACAGTGAGGGATTGTTATTACTGATGAGCTGTGGAACAATATGGGATTAAGAATGGGAAAAAGAATTAAAAGAGAACAACAAAACAAGCATCTTCACTGGTTGCAGAAGATAGAGAGCTTAAGAAAATGACTCCAGAAAAGTTGAAAAGTGTATGGATTATGAGTCTAAGAAAGAGATTCTAAGCATAGACATCAGGGTTTGCCAATAGATAGTTCTCCACAAGCTTGTACATTCCCTTAGCTTGGTCCTTGCCCTCCTTGATTTCCTCTTCTTTGATCTCTACATCACCTTTAGTATGGTACTGGCTTATCATCTTACACATGCATCCTCCGTCGCTGGAGGACATGAACTTAACCTCATAATCAATGTGATCAAGCTTGTCCTTCAATGGATCACCTTCAATCAAGCTGTACTTGCACACAAAGTTCTCTTTGTCCAGCTCATTCACTCGGTTCTTCACATATTTGAAGGGGATAGCTGCAAAACAAAACAATTTTTGAATTTTGTTAAACAAACAAAGCATTCTCCTAGTCCTAGTTTTCATGTTGTTTGGTTTAATTTGGAATTAATAAATGATTATGTGTGTTTGGTGAAAAAGAACTTCTTTCAAATGGGGTAATTAATATAGGTATTTTGGAAATCAGGTAGTGAGTCAAAACGGATAAAAAACGCAATTAGCACTTATTGAAAAAAGCACTTAAAATAAACACATAAATGCTTATTGGTGTTATCCTAGCCTAAAATAAGAACACCCCAATGGGTATATAACTACTAGCAGAACATTTTGAAGAATAAGATATAGATTGATCTTGTGAGTTGTGGCTAACCTTCAGTGAAGTTAACCTGTTCGATGCTTCCAACCTCTCCATCTCCTTGGATCAAGTCCACGCTTTTTATGGCTTGAGGCATGAGCTTGGGGATGAGGTTCCGAGAATCAAGAATCAAAGCCTTGAACATCCTTGCCGGAGCTACCGGACTTGCAAACTCCTGAGTAAAGGTGGTGACACCCATGTTCGGCTAAGTGTGAGAAAATTATTAGAGAAAAGAAGTAGGAAGATGAAATCCAATCGGTCTCAATGGAGGAGACTGAACTGGTTTACATGGTATATAATTAAGCAGAGGTGGTATTTATAGATGGAGGTCGTCTGAGGTTGGTTTGGTGTTGGTGAGAAAGTCTCCTGTTCAGGCTCTTCGAGTCTATGGCGGCCCAATTCAAATATATTTCTTAATAAAAGACCAGACTTGGATAAAGAGAGAAGAAAGAACATCATCAAAGTATCACACACAGGCGGCCCAAAAAGCAGGAAAAATTTGTTTTTCACGTTGAAACTAGGGGTCAGTCTCCGTTTTGTTACGACCGGATTTAGTCTGCCGGTCCAATAACCATATTGCATACACCTAACTTCTTTTGACGGGGCCCTGATAAAAGAATACTTTCTGGCCCATTCAGCTGGTTCATAACCATCCTCGTCCTTAAGGGTAGCCCATTCCTAAACCCATAACCCCCCAACCCTGGGAGGCTGGGATTGAATTTGAAATTGGACACTGTTTGCAGCCCTAGGTTTAATATTAGGGTTGTCAACGGGTTGGGTCTGGATCGGGTTTAAGTAAAATCAGAACTGACTTGACAAGAAATATTAAGAAATCAAAATGGAACCAGAGCCTATAGGGCCTATAATTTAGACCCATAGACCCAAAACCAAACTGATCGATCCTCTAAACAATTGGGCCTGACCTACATATATTTGACTGGTTTCAAATCAATCAGATCGGACCCGACCCATTAACAGCCCATAATAATAATATAGCCAACAACCTCTGCCTTTTGATTATCACAACGACCTTATAATTGAAAATGGATGTTGAAGGTAGGTTCTATGGTAATCAGAGACTAAAGGATGTAACCGAACATTCAGGGCGTTACGATGAATTTTGTCGTAGGAATGAATGAATTTTTTTCCATGCAATTGATCTTGTCCTGGTTGTATATTTTTTCAAAGATTTGGCATGGATGTTGCTGATGTGTGGGTTGGAAGTATTGCTTTTTGAGAATTTTTTTTCCTTGGAAACGTTGCTGTCAGGTAGGATGTTTCTTGGAGCAATAACAATACTTCCTATTTAGTACCAGTGCTCCATATCTGCTTTTAGCACTGGTACCTGATGATGCGCAATCCGGCCGGTCTTAACTGTCAATGACCTTACCTCTGAATCGAGTAGCAGGGACCTGAAACGTAGGAGATGAAGAAGCTACGAGGAGAACCCGGTGTAAAGGCTCCGAAGCTTAAGTTAGAATCTTTCAAAGGCAAGATAAACTAGATAGCGCAAGGTTTGCATCCCTTCTCTTTGGGGGTGGAGCGCCTTTTATAACCACCTCACGCACTTACTCCTAGACTCCTGTCAGGTCGGGAATGAGTATTTCCGTGCTTCTGCCAGTCCGGGCGCCATCGCCTCTGCTGGGGCAGAACCGTCGCTGCTCCTTTTGTCGGAGCCGTCTCT